TTTCATCGGTGGGTTGCCTAAAGCGTTTGCGGTTGACACCATATTAGTTGTGGATCGGATCACAAAATACGCTCATTTTATGGCATTATCACACCCTTATTCAGCAAAAGAAGTGGCTGAGTTGTTTGTCAAAGAGGTAGTTCGTTTGCATGGATTTCCTTTGGTGGTGGTTTCGGATAGAGACAAAGTGTTCTTGAGCAAATTTTGGTCTGCATTGTTTAAATCCACTGGTACCAAGCTGCATTATTCTACGGCATACCACCCACAATCTAATAGGCAAACTTAAGTAGTAAACAGGGGTTTAGAGACTTAACAGAGGTGTTTCTGTAGTCCATAACCGAAGAGTTGGCCTAAGTGGTTACATTGGGCAGAGTTTTGGTACAATACCACGTATAAACTATAAAGAGTCAACGGGTATGACACCCTTCAAAGCTTTATACGGTATTGATCCCCCACAACTTTTGAGGGTTGGCAATAGCTTTGTGAGGGTGGATGTTGTTTCTTCGTTATTGGCTGAAAGGGAGGCTATTTTAGAAGAGTTGAAAGTTAATTTGGAGAAGGCTTCGAATCGTATGAAGGTTCAAGTGGACCAGCATCGAAGGGATATCAATTTTGATGTAGGAGATTTGGTTTATTTGCGGATTCAACCTTACCGATTGAAGACCTTGGCTTCTAAGGTCAATGAGAAGTTAAGGGTATGCATGACAACCTTCCTGGAATCAATTCTTTTTTAATTTCTGTTCCCGGGAACAGAAATGGATAGGAAACTCGTTTGGTAAAACCGGTTTGTTTTTTTGTTCCCGGGATGAACCGGTTTAATTTTTGTGCTGGGGAACAGAAAAAAGAATCAATTTTTTTTTGCTTTTTTATTCCCGGGCACAAAATGAGAAACACTTATCCCTCTCAATCACTCTCCCCCATCGTACCACTAGTGTCGTCGTCACCACCTCCACCTATCACCACCACCACCACAACTACCGCCGCCGCCACCACCACCACCACTATCACCGTCACCACCACCACCATCATCACAACCACTGCCATCACACGCCACTGCCACCACCTCCATCGCCATCACTACCACCACCACGATGCCACCACTACCATCACCACCATGTCACCAACCACCACTACTATTGCCGCCGCCACTATCGTCACCACCTCCGTCGTCGCTGCCGTCGCCACCAACCACCACCACCATCGTCACAGCCATTACCGTCACCACCACCATCATCGCCACCATTACACCACCTCCGCCACTACCACCACCACTGCCACCACCACGACCATAATGTCTTCACAACCACCACCACCATGCCACTGCTACCATTATTGTCGCCACCAACCACCATACTCACCACCATTGTCGTAACCACTGCCGTCACCTCCACCACCACCATCCCCACCACTACCGTTGCCGTCGCCACCATTACCACCGCCATTGTCGCATCCACTTCCGTCACAACCACTACCACTATCTTCACCACGTCACTGCCACCACCACTATCGTACCGCCGCCGCCACCACCACCACAACCACACTGTGGAAAGGAAAGTGATGATCCGAATTTTTTTTATATTTAAAAGGAATTAGTTTTTATTATATTATTTATTGTGTTATCAAAAACACAATTCTCATTCTCGGAATAAAAATAGAACATGTTATCAAACACATTTTTTTTTCTCAGAAACTGTTCCATGGCACAGAAATAAAAAAGAATTGTTTCTTTTCAAAAACAGTTCTAGGGAATAGAATGGTTGTCATGCACACCCTAAGTCCCCGTTATTATGGTCCATTTCCAGTAACAGAGAAAATTGGTGTGATTGGGTATCGATTGTCCTTGCCTAGCGGGTGTAAAATTCACCCTGTTTTTCACGTGTCTTTGTTGAAAAAGGCTAACCCGGTGGTAGTAAATGCTCAACCATTACCAGATATGTTGAATGAGGAGTGGGAGTTGCAAGTCACACCTGCGGACATTCTGGATTGGCGCAGGGATCCCCAAGGTAAGGTTCAGGTTCTGGTTAAGTGGTGCAATTTACCCGACTTTGAAAATTCATGGGAGGATTTCATTACCCTTGAAGCTCAGTTTCCTCATCTCAACCTTGAGGACAAGGTTCCGGTCGTGGGGGGAGTATTGATAGGGCCCAATTGCGTAAGGCCCAACTGAATAATGTCTATGTGAGAGACAAAGGTAGAAAACGTTGGCTTGCTCCCACTCAATCTGTTATTGCTGACTCAGTTATTCTGTTAGAGGAGGATGAGGTGCAACGCACTACGGGTTAGTTGGTAATAGTTTATATACGCAGGGGAAGTGAGGGAAAAGGGTACCAAGGAGGTCATTGTTAGTTGGAGAGTATTGGGAGATTTACAGGGCGTCTCGAAGGTCCCTGATTACTGCTTTTGTTGTTATTTCCATTAAACGTTGATCCATAGTAGCACTATGGAGAACCATTGTAATGCTTTCTTTGTTATTGAATGCTTAGTATATCAATATAAGAGTATTTCAGTAAAAAAATGTGTCTCTGTTACTTAATTTGTATCAGAAACATGACGGTGGATGAATACTTGAGTAAATTCAATCGGTTGGCTAAATATTCTTGTTATGGTAGAGGTCCCCTCATTCTAGAAGATAAAGCATTTAAATTCAATAAGGGCTTGAATGATATGATTGCAGACAAGCTGGCTAGTCATTGTTCAAGAGATTTGTGGAGTTGATTAAGCAGTGCCAGGACATACAGGAGTATTATAGGACCCGAGGCAAGGATACTGCAGGCAAGAGTTTCCATGGGAAGACTACTAACTGGAACGGAAAAGGCAAGGGCTTGCAGGTGAAGCAGAACGGAAACAAGTTTAAGAGAAATGGGAATGCAAAAGTCAGGAATGGGAAGACTCCTACTTGTGCTAAGTATGGGAGGTCTCATTTTGGTGTCTGTCGGATTGGACAAAATGTATGCTTCAGTTGTGGGCAAGCAGGCCACTATTCTAAAGAGTGCCCCCAGAAAAAGGGGCAAGTTGCGGCTATTCAGGCTATTCTATTCAGGCTATTCCGACTCCCATTACTATTGGGGAGCATCCAGTACCTTCAGTTGCACGAGTTTATGCTGTCACCCAGCAGGAGGCGGAGAAGTCTCCAAATCTGATAAGAGGTACCATTTCCATTGATGGCTATGATTTTGATGCATTGTTTGATTCTGGAGCCACCACTCCTTTATTTCGAGTTTTGTTGCGAATGGTTTGAACTTGCCTATATATGCATTTACACCTCCTATGGTAGTGAAGACTGCCACTGGAGATTTAGTTTCCACTTCTTTGATGTGTAAGGAAGTCAAGTTCAGTTATGAAGAGAAGGAGTATGTGGTTGATCTGATTATGCTTGAGGGTATGAATTTGCACATTATTCTGGGCATGGATTGGCTAGTCAGATATGGAGTCATGATTGATTGTTGTAGCAGGAAGATTTACTTCTCTTCTAAGAATGAGAAGAATGACTCCCCATATTTATCAGTGTTGCAGATGATAAAGGCTCTAAGGCTCTAAATACAGGAGATGTGGGATACATCATGTTAGGAGGGTTGGTTGGTGACTCTAAGGAGCCAACTTCTAGTACCCCTATTGTATGTGACTTTGAGGATGTATTTCCAGAAGAAATCACACAGTTTCCACCAGAAAGGGAGATTGAATCTCCATTGATCTATTGCCTGGTGTGGGGTCTATCTCTTTGGTTCCATACTGGATGTCACCAGTGGAACTTGTAGAGTTGAAGAAGCAAATTGAAGATCTGTACAGCAAGAATTTCATTAGACTGAGTGTGTCTCCTTGGGGAACACCAATTATCTTTGTGAAGAAGAAGGATGGAACCATGAGGTTGTGCACATATTATCGGCAATTGAACAAGGTGACTGTGAAGAACAAGTACCCCCTACCTCGCATTGATGATTTGTTGGACCAACTTAGAGGTTCTTCAGTATTTTCGGAGATTGATCTTCGTTTCGGATATAATCAGATCCGGGTAAAAGCAGAAGATATTCCGAAGATGGCCTTCCGATCTAGATATGGGCACTATGAGTACCTAGTGATTCCATTTAGGCTTACAAATGCCCCAACGGTGTTCATGAGTTATATGAACCGGATCTTCAAACCTTACTTAGATCAGTTTGTTGTGGTCTTCATTGATGATATTGTGATCTACTCCAAGAGCAAAGAGGAGCATGCAGAGCATTTGAGGATAGTTTTACAGATCTTGAGAGAGCATCAGTTGTATGCGAAACCGTCCAAGTGTGACTTCTGGTTGTATGAGATTCTTATCTCCCAGATATTCGTTAAATAGTCGTTATGCTGTCCGTGAGACTTTGGCGGGAATGACACTACTAATGGCTAATGGAATTAGTTATTAGTTGTATGTTTTAGATTCACGCTTATACAAATATCTCATGTGAACGATTTTGGAAATGTTTTTAGAAAACGTTTTGGAAAAAGTTAACTCATATTTTTATAAGACAATTTCATATTTAATAAAAATCAAGTCTTCCGCTGTGTGCGTTAAATATCATGTATGTTAACAACCGGAGTACTACGGGGTGTTACAATTAGAAGTCTAGTACTTGATTCGGTCGGGGTTATTGCTTTGTATTTTGTATCACATTAAATAAATAACAATTTTGCATTGTTCATTTGCTTATTCTCTCTTTTCTGTCATCTCTTCCTCAACCCTACAATTTCAACAACGAATTAAAATTTAATAGAGAGAGAAATGTGCCAAGGAGGCATCTTTTGGTTTGTTAGTTTATCCAATTTTGGGGTTCCATGGGTACCTTTGAGTGGTGTTTAAATTATTTCTCAAATTTGACATTTGTTGAATTCATCATGTTTTTATTTTTATTTTTGTAAATTTTCTTATTGTAGTAAATTGGAAATCTTCAATACATCCAAATTTTCGAAGCTATTATATTTGTCGGATTTCCCTACCCTATTCTTATTTTTTGTTTTGTTTTGGATATCAGGGGGTGTACAAGACAATGTGAGGAAACTGGATGTGTTGGGCAAAGATGTTTTCCGAACTGTAAATTTTCTTCGGATGGAGAACTTATTGATCGTCCATGGTACATGCAAGAACCACTTTATTTACAATGGAAAAAATGGGATTGTCAAAGTGACTGCCGGTACTACTGCATGCTTGATAGAGAGAAAGAAAAAGAATTACTTAACCTTGGCCCTGTCAAATATCATGGTAAATGGCCATTCAGGCGTATCTATGGGATGCAGGTTTGTCACCTAAGAAGCTATGCATCTTATTTTTCATCTCAAAAGCTTTTGTTTAAAGATCTGACATGTATCCTTTTTATTAGGAGCCTGCTTCTGTGGCTTTCTCTGCTCTCAATCTTGCAATGCATTTTCATGGTTGGGTCTCCTTTTTCATTCTTTTGTATTATAAATTGCCTCTAAAAGATGGGAAGAAGGCATATTATGAGTATGCTGGTTTGTGGCATATCTATGGGCTCTTATCGCTGAACTCCTGGTTTTGGAGTGCTGTTTTCCACAGTCGGTTAGTTATTTAAGCAGACATTTTCAGTATTTTGTACTGATTCTAAATATCTATATTTGTTTACCAATGTCATCCTGATTTGGTTATTATAAGAATGAATACCTTGCTATTTGACCCTAAAGAGTGATGATTATTGGTATTGCCAATCAAGCTTTCTATAGTTGTTTCATGTTGAAGTGATGCATCTTAGTTCTTATGTGGGAGTCTGAATCACCTGGCTAAATAGTCAAATGATGTGATTCAAATTGAATCACAATATATGCATATGAAATATTAATGCACAAACTGTTTCGTATGTTAATTTTTAGTACATGGAATATTTCTAATACTGTCCCTTTCTATCAACGTCAATGCCACCTTTATAGCAGTCGGTGAACCCATATAAAAGCAAGAACAGAAATACTGCCCCTTTCTAAGACAAACTAAAATTTATGAATGGCTGTTTTTGCTTTGATAATTACAAGCCTCACTCAAAAATCATTTTGAGTGGTCCAATATATATATATAGGGTAAGGATCATTTTACATTAGTGTAAGTTACACTCTTAATCTTGTCCGTTGATCTCATTTATATTTAAGAGCTCAAATTTTTTAGTAATGTGAGTCATTGGATACAAGTGGATCAATGGTCAAGATTGAGTGTAAGACTTCTAACTCTTACACCGGTGTAAGAATATCCTGTCCCATATATATATATATAGGACATGATTCTTTTACACCGTTGTCAAAGAAAAAATGTGACACCTCTTCTGAGAGTCGTTGATCTTGTCTTGATCTAACGACTCTAATTTGTAAGATGAGGTGTCAAACTTTTTTTTTAATATTGATGTCATTCCTTGTCTTAGATGAGGTGTCAAACTTTTTTTGATACTGATGTCAATCACTCTGATTTGTCTTGATCTAACGGTTATTAGATAAGGTGTCACACTTTTTTTTGATACCGATGTCAAAGGATTTTAACACCCCCCCCCCCCCCCTCTCCCTCTCCCTCTCTCTCTCTCTCTATATATATATATATATATAGTTGGTTATAATTAAATCTAATGCTGACAGTGTTCTGAATTATTGTGATGCTCCTACAGTTTTTAAGAAATTATCTCACTTTTTTTTGTAAATCCACCTGAACTGTGAAAAAGTAACGAAACATGTCTCGTTATCTGTTGAATATAGCAATATAGGTCTCCTAAATTTTTTCCTACATCTTAATTTCTTTTTTTCTTCATTGTTTGTGTGTCCTATTGTGCTGCAGAGATGTTGATCTAACTGAGAAACTAGACTACTCATCTGCAGTTGTTCTCCTTGGATACTCCCTCATTTTGGCCATCTTACGGACCTTCGATGTTAGGGATGAGGCTACCAGAGTTATGGTTTCGGCTCCATTGATTGCTTTTGTGAGCACCCACGTACTGTTCATCAACTTCTATATGCTAGACTATGGTATGTCTCGTCATGCAATCTTTATATTATTATTGCTGAGGCTCAGAGTTGAATGTAGGATCCATGTGTTCTTTATTTCTCTCTTTAAGAAAAGCTTACAACAAGCTGTCTGTTAATTGTCCATGCCATTCGCTTTTGTAGCTTCTGCTTCTATTTCAAGATTATCTACAGGATTCTTAATCTATCTTTTTCCTTCCAACTCATTCTTTGGGGATGATGGACCATTTTGCCCCTACTATAAATTTTTTTATCACTGTCCCTCTTCCCAAACTATATATCAATTTGCCCCTCTTAAACTATATACAAATATGTCCCTATTTAACTAAAGTTTGACCAAACCTTAATCCTTGGTATTGTGAGTCTTTTATTCTAGTAAATAGCTCATTTTCTCCCGTAAGTGTTGATTAAACTTTGGTCAAATAGGGATATATTGATATATAGTTTGACAAGATGGACAAATTGATTTATAGTAGTCTTTTAAAACTTGGCCCAGTCATCGACTCGGTCGAGGTATTGTGTCGTTGGTTCAATCGGTGGTTCACTGGTTCAACTCGTTTAATTAAATTATATTAAATTATATAATAAATATATTATAAGGTGCATTTTGACCAACAATTTAGGATAGCCTAGTGGTAAGTGATAACACTACTCACTTCCGTAGGCTGGGTTCCATTCCTAGCCCTTGTCAAAAGTGGAATATTTTGTTCAATTTTTAAAAAATCGGTTTAAGGGAGAAAACAGCATGACCCGCCAGGTTCCATTTGACCCGCTAGTTATTGAGACGATGCTCTCACTGGGTTACCGAAACCCGGGTCGACCCGGCCAGTTCGATCTGGATTTTAAAACACTGATTTATAGTTTAAGAAGAGAGGTAAAGTTGTAAATTTTTTAAAACACAAGGGAAAATTGGTCAATCAGCCCATTCTTTGGACTTAAGTGGTGGCATTGAGACTTACTTTTGAGAAGTGCATAGATTGGATATCTTTAACAAAATTGAAGTTATGCTTGTACTGCGAGTATCACAATGTTCGAATTTTTGTGTGCAATTGAGTTTGTGTTTTACTTCATTCTGTGTTTGTCATTCCTTGTATTTTTTTCCTTGTGATGATTTTGATTGTATTCTTAATCTAACTTTACAGGATGGAATATGATAGTTTGTGTAGTGATGGCAGTGGCACAACTTGCCATTTGGGCAGTTTGGGCTGGTGTTAGTCACCATCCTTCACGTTGGAAACTCTGGCTAGTTGTTATTGCTGGTGGCCTTGCAATGCTCCTAGAAATATACGATTTCCCTCCATATCAAGGACTAGTGGATGCACATGCTCTTTGGCATGCCACCACTATTCCTCTAACCTACATTTGGTGGAGTTTCATAAGGGATGATGCTGAGTTTCGAACCTCGAATCTTGTTAAGAAGGCCACGTAGCTTCCTTTTCTACTTACCTGACACATTTAAATGGATCATACTTTCACCCACAACTAAGCCTGAATAGATTCTCTTTGATGATGTACTTGTAAGTGCTTATTTCTCTTTCTGTTATTATGAGTTTTTGTGTTCATATTTGGGTGAATGATGAATTTGACATTTTTGACTGTTCTCTTCAATAGGCCAAAAGATCATTTCAGGATTCGCTTTCATGTTTTACCATTTCTCTTTGCTTAATTAATTTTGTACGAAATCTAACTTTTATTGGCCTAATTATTTCATTTTGATCTGAAGGATTATTATTATTTTCCCCCTTCAGGTGTATATAATTGACACTATGAGTCGATAAAACTTATCGAGTAACCAAACTGAATGGGCTTAGATAGAAAAGCTTAGCTTGCTTGGGTGACCAAAACATGAAAAACTCGAAGCAAAATTGATACGATGTCCGTTTAGAATTTTACTAATAGGAGAAACGGAAATTATACAGTTGGTTTTTTAAAACATTTAGTAACTTTGATATATGTGAATGGAAAAAGGTGATCATATTTTTTTAAGTTTCTTCTATTTGTTAACTGGCATCTTTGATTTCTATTTTAAATCAGTCCAAAATAAAAGAGGGCATTTAGACAATTAATATTTTTTATTTTTTTATTTTTGCTTGACATGTCACAGTTAATTTTAGTAGACAATCTATTACGTATTTATGTATGGCAAAATAAGGTTAATACTTCTAAACCAATAGAGCCCCAACTGGATTAAAACAAAGTTTTGACAGAACTAATCGAATTTTGGGAGAAATAAAAAAAATACTTCCAAACAAATGAACAAAAAAGGGGGACTACTCTTTTAGTCTTTACAATTTGTTTAGCGCTTTTATTTTTTATTTATTTATTTATTTTTGGGTAACATGGAATGCATTTAAGCTTAGTCTGATATGTTATCGGTTCGGCTTTCTTTGCTGAATTGAAGTAAATCAAAAAAGAAAATTCAGTTTTAAATTCATTTATTCTTTTGAACCAATTCAGTTTGATTTATTCTTTTGAACCATTTCAGTTCTTTACTTGTTCTACTCAACTGATTTTAAAAATCAGTTCAAAACCCAAATATAATGTATGAAAAGATTGAGTAAAAAAAGATAAGATAAAATAAAATAAAATACAAAATATAAATGATACTAGAATTTAAGAAAATAATTTAAAAATAAAATAAAATAAAGTAAAAATAGAGATAAATAAAAGAAAAAACACATAACAGAAAAAAGGAAAGTAAAAAAAAAAACTAGAGAAATAAAAATAAAAATAAAGGAAAAAACACTAAATAAATAAACAAACAAGAGAATAAAAATAGAGAGAGAGAAAGAGAAATAAAAGAAAATAAGAGAAGAAAAAAAACAATTTGCTTCATGAACTAGTTAGTTTTTCAAAAAGCAACTTTGTTCATGAACTTATTTTTAAAAATTAATTTTTTAAAGTGCAGTGTTTTTTTTTTTTTTTTTTTATACATCAAAAGAATGAAAAACAAACTAAAGAAAATGCACAAATTAAATAAATAGAAAAATAAAGACAAAACCTATCCCATTCCCCTCCTAGGATGTCAAACTCCAGCAGTGTTCGCTTGGAGCAGAAGCTGCAAAGGTCTACGAGGATTTGCAAAAATAGTATCATCTAGTATTGAAGCATTCTGAAGTGGAAGAGTGGCAGACAATTAGCACAAAAGTTGGCTTCGCGGTATACATGAACAACCAAAATTTGTCAATCTTGATCTAAGAGTGCTCATATCCGAGTCAGTAAACGAGACTCATGAGCTATTGCACCCTGTCTGGTGAGTGATAAGTCCATGAAATATGACTTAAAACATATATTTGTTGATATGAAAATGTTAATAGAAGTAGAGGTTATTGCTTTCATGATAATAGAGCAAAAATCAGTAGGCAACCCCGCTTCCTCAAGAACACGTCTAAGGAAGTCCCAACTAAGACAGTCATATGTCTTTTCAAGTTGGCGTTATCATGTCATAAATGCAAGTTAAGTTGTTGTTAATGGTGGGAGATACAAAGGAAACATGGGGAGATATTGAAGAGGAAATCTTATGGAAGCCTAAGCAAGCGGTTATGAGCAACGATGATGTTGTTGAAAGATAGTGGGTGAAAATCACCTATAGATTTGAATCTGTGTATGATACGGGATATGTTAATTAATGGTAAAAGCAGAGTGCAATAATTAAAGAACGGACTAACTTGAGATTAGAAGCAGATGTCAATATGCAGAAAATGATGAATAATCGGAGCCCAACAATGTTGTCTCCTTAAGATAATTTGTTCCCTCACAATTGATGTCGAAGGTTGATGAACACTTGTCTCCCACGATATAACGGATTACGTCTCCGAAATTATGGTACTATCATTCGGGAGCCCGAACGAAGACAATTGGATGTTTGAGGAATCACACCGTGAATGGTATAGATGCATGCATGCACGGAGAAGGCAAAAATTCGGTAGAGTAACGATGCAAAAAAAGGAATAATTTCTTGAAGAGGTCAGTGTCTACAATGTCTATAGACACTGTCCGGACACGATGAACTGCCACCAATGAACTGCTGTGACTAACGGCTGCGAACTGGTACGACCGATGACTGGTTCGGTTCAATATTAACTGAACAAATCGATTAGAAGCAACATTTCAGTTTGAATTTGGAGGGAAGCAACGATTGGACAAAATATTATGTAATAAAAAATTATGTTATTTATCTCACACACATCCACGACTGAACCGAGTCGAGCCGGCCGGATGGACGACGGCGACGCGCTAGTGGACCAATGCCCACCTAACTTCTATCTCCTCCACAAAATGTGTAGTGTCCCAAGGGGCAATCTAGGAGTGTAATGTTGGAACTTATATATCTTTCCACCTCTTACTAGTTATCCAATGGGAGACTTCTTAGTTTATAACCCACAACCCTTTCATCTCCATTCTTTCTTTTATTTCTCAACCCACTTCTTATTCATAACCCATAGGATTGCTATACAAATTCCAACATCCTCTACGTGGATAAGAAGTCAATTCATCATGAATAAATGCATAAAAGTTCATAGAGCTATTTACTCGATCGCAGACATTTCTGGAAAACTCTAATAGAGGGACAAAGAGTCAATTCTATATAGAATTCTATAGAATATAAAGAAAATAGATAAAATAAAATAAAATAAAGATAATATATAGATAATAAACAGAGTTCTTTCTCAGAATAACCATTCACTGGAAATCAATATGCTTCCGTTCTTCCATCAAATATTCTACTTTTTCCCGGATATTCGGACCGTTGACATCCGCCATAGGGTAAAAACAATTGCATCGAGATGGGTAAGGGTCATCTTTGAACCTTCTCTAGTGAAACCTATCGGATATACTCGGTCAATCGGTGGTTAGGGCGACTTGAACCGTTGACCTTTAGTGTATACCTAGACAATAGGAGTCACACAATTGCTTCTTTAGCATTGTTGGTCCTTATTGTTCTGCTCATTTTGGCCTTGGACACCTGCCTGGTTTTGTGAGTGTTCTAGAGAATCGGTCTTTATAAATTCTTAGAGAAGTTGTCCTCACTTCACACTCACATAGGTGATTCCTTGTGATGTAACTCAACATACATCATCTGAACACATAAGATTAAGAAACCATTAAAAGCATAAATGCTTACCTTCATATATAAACTGTTTTGTCATAGGAATGAGTGTGAGTTTAGAAACTCTCTAGTGTTAACAGTCGATCATCACTTAGTTGTCTCTTTGAACCTAGTTTATGGGATCTCCACTCATCATGGTAGAATTACCGTAATGATCAACAATTGATAGGGCTTAAATCCATTCCTTTCGAAAAATTCTCAACCAACTCTCTAGGAATCCCTTTGGTCAACAGATCCGCTATGTTCTATTTAGACTTCACATAGTCTATTGTAATAATTCCACTCGAGAGTAGTTATCTCACAGTATCATGTCTACGACGTATATGTCTAGACTTACCATTATACATGACATTTTCTGCCCTTCCAATAACAACTTGGCTATCATAACGTATGCATACGGCTGGTACCGGCTTTGGCCAATTAGGAACATCCTCAATAAAATTACAAAGTTATTTGGCTTCCTCACTGGCTTTATCTAAAGCAAATTCTACTTCCATGGTTTACCTTGCAATGTAAGTCTACTTGGAAGATTTCCAAGACACAACACCCCTACCAAGAGTGAACACAAATCCACTTGTGGATTTAGTGTAATTAGAGCCGGTGATCCAGTTTGCATTGCAATACCCTTCTATTACTGTAGGGTACTTTTCGTAATGCAAAACAAAGTTTTGAGTGTATTTCAAGTATCCCAAAACTCTTAACATATCTTTCCAATGAAACTCATTTGGATTACTAGTAAAGCGACTTAACAGACTCACTGCATAAGCAATATCAGGTCTGGTGCAGTTCATAACGTATATAAGACTGCCTAGCACTGAGCATATTCTTTTTGTGCTTCAGTTTTACCAGTGTTCTTTGTTATTTTAAGATTAGAATCTACGGGGTTCTTCATAGGAGCTATATTCAAATTCTTGAATTTCTCAAGAATTTTAGCAATATAATGAGCCTGCGACAAAGCCAACCCGATAGACGTTCTATGGATTTTAATACCCAAGATAATGTCCGTTATCCCCAAATTTTTCATGTCAAATTTACTTTTAAGTAATTGCGTAGTAGCTTTAATCATTTGATTATTGCTACCCATTATCAACATGTCGTCCACATAAAGACAAACTATGACAAATCCTTTCTCAGTATTTTGAAAATAGACACACTTCTCACATTCATTTATACGAAAACCATTTGAAAACATAACTTTATCAAATTTCGCATACCATTGTTTTGGATCTTATTTTAACCTGTAAAGGGATTTTATTAAGCGGCAAACTTTCCGTTCTTGTCTTGGGATAGCAAAATCTTCAGGTTGTTCTAAATAGATATCTTATTTTAAGTCTCCATTTGAGAAGACAGTCTTAACATCCACTTGATGTATTTCTAACCCACTCAACGTTGCTACCGTGATTAACATCCTAATGGACGCAATCGTTGTAAAAGATGAATAAGCATCAAAATAGTCTAGACCTTCACGTTGCCTGTAGCCTTTTACCACAAGCCTAACTTTATATTTATCAATAATGTC